AAATCTATTGATCTAATTAATCCTCTGCATTGCTATATCGCAATATAATTAAGTATGTTGATCTACTTTGCTCAGTGATGAAAACTACAAGAGACAAAGTTTAAGAGAAGAAATAGCATTATCCCCTTTTAATGAAGAACCAATATGATATAAATTATAAATGATAACGTTGAATGACCATTGATGAACTCATAGAAATAGTATAATGCAACAAATAAATCTAGAAAACTAATTATCAGTGTTCAAAATGGAAAGAAGATAATGACCATTCAACAAACTAAACCAAGTAATGCCACAAAACTAAGTATTACAAACCTAAAAAAAATGTATAATTCACAAATAAAATAGGAAAAGCAAAATATTATGTGATTTAATTAAATTATTTTTTTAATTAGTTTGGTTCCATCAAGGTTGATAAAAAACAAAAAAAGTTTGGTTCCATTAACTGAAGCTAAAATTGGAAATTGAACCAATTATATTAATTTTGAAATTTTACAAAACCAATCCTCAATTTGTTCGTTTCAGAGTCAAATCAATTGATTTAAATCTAATATTAAAAACCTTATTTTAGATTAATATTAGATCACTATTTCCTTTTCATCTTCAGCTTCTTTTCAAAGAACGTTAGAATGCAATTTATTAAATTCATTTTGATTAATTAAATAGATTTAACAAATTTGTCAAAATTCCTAGCCAAAATGCAATCTCTCCCATCTGCGAAAGAATAAGGACAGATTTAAAGCCACAATGCAATTTAAATGAGGAAAACTTACCTGTTCATTGAAGAGTGTTTGTGTGTTTGCAATGAATCCCTCCAATTTTGGGCAGTTCAGCACTTGCAGTTTCTTCAATGATTTGAATTCAATACAATTTCCTAAGTAGAAATTGACAAGGTCTTCAAGGTCTTCCATCTGCAGAATGTTCAACTGAGGGAAAATCATCTTTTCTTCTACATTATTATCTATAAAAATGACCTCTTTCATCCTGCTGCATTTCCTTATTTCCAGATGTTTCAGCATATTTAGACCTCGAACCATAGAAGATGAGAAAATGCATTTCAAATTATCACATCCCTTAATGATCAATTTCATCAGTTTACCAGCACTGAAAGATGCAACCTGCATGACACACAATGATATTTTCTTATAATAAATGCTTCTCATTTTGTTGATTGAAAAAGAAAAGGACGGTCATGTTAAAATTTGTAGAGATTGGGCATGTCTAACTAGAATACAAACAAGTAATGCAAAGGAGATGGCTTGGATGAGAACAAAAACGAAATAAAAGAAATTAATCAAACACCTGTCCTTGGAAAAGTGTCATTCTCTTGCAGAAGGCAATCAACTTTGGTAGATCTTCTAATCTCAAGGAGCACAGTTCCTTCAAGATATCTTTTTCGCCCCCTTGCTCATTGTCATCAACAATCTCTTCCAAGTTGCTGCACTTTGTCACTCTAATTTCTTGGAGTTGGAGAAAATTTCGTTTGGCTATAGAGGAGGAGAACAAATTCTTTAGTTGATTACATGATTCAACCGTTATAATTCTTAATTTGCTAAAAGATGATTCTTTAACCAAACCATGACATATCTTCTCCATTTTTCCCAAATTATGTAGAACTAACACTTCCAATATGGGAAATGCAGGTTTCATTGAGTCAATGATATGTTGAACATTCTGAGCATCTTGGATAAAGAGATACTTCAATTCTTGAAAACCTTCCTCATCTAACTCATTCACGACATTGTTGCCACCACTCAACCCCTGTAGATGTAGTTCCTCTGTCTTCTTTAGCAACTTCTTAACTGCATGCTCAGAACTAATTTTTGCATCTAGCTTTAGCTTCAATATTTTTGAACTTCCACAATAACCATCCCAGGAGTGCCACATATCTCCTTCACAAATCTTGTATCTTGCCAAATTTTCAGGGAACAAGTCTCCTTTGATCTTCTGGATATTGCAAATATTAATTTGTACCTCTATAGTAGTTCGCTTCGTTAATTGCTTCAACTCAGAAAGGCTAGCAATTTCTTTTTCTCGCTCCTTAACACCCTCTGCCCATTGATTGAAACTGTTTCTCATGTATAGTTCTTCTAATCCCTGCAGCCTTGACAAGACAACTGGTGGAATTACTTTGAGTTTGGTACAATCACTCAAATCTAACACCTTCAGCTTAGTTAGTTCCCTTATTTGCTTTGGCAGCTCTTCGAGGTCACATCCCACAAGGCTAAGGACTTGCAAATTCGTCAGTTTGCTTATAATTGCACCCATTTTTGCATCTCTTAACACACTTTGATCCAGACGCAAGGTATGAAGGTCATTTAGAAGGGAAATTGACTGGGGCATTGACCAAGTTTTAGTCAAACCCAGGACTCTGAGCCCTCCAATTCCTGTAAACAAGTTTGGTGGAATTGGTTTAGAAGGATCCTCTTTTGACAAATGAAAGAAAGTGAGCTGCGGACAGTTCAACTGATCTGTTGGAAGCTCACTAGTATTTGATAAATGAACCCATTTGATGCTTTTCATTTCCTCCCAGTTGTTCAGTCCAACTTCCCCAAAGGCAATTGATTTGGCAAATATCATGAGAAGATCATGCATATCAAAATGCATATTACCGCCACTATCCAGTAACAAAGAAAAATATCTGAGTTTAGTCATTAAATTCAGTAATGCAGCTCGTGCTTCCTCCACAGATTTGACTCCTGGGAATAAATCCAAGCCTATGGTATATTTCAATAAGTCTGGAATAGCTGCATTATGACCCATTAGACTGCAAAGCAAGAAAGTTTGTTGGAGTTCAAAGCTTTTCAAACAATCATAACTTTTATAGAAAGGTGAATGAAGGCTTCGTTGGCTTTGTAGCTCTTGTAGAATAGTCTTCCGCTTCAGTCTGCCACCTTTTAAGGCCATTGCAAGCGTTGCAATAGCAATGGGCAAACCATAACACTTCTTGCAAATCTCTCTTGCATAAAATGGCAAACGACGACTTTCAGTTCGGTAAGTAGCTATCTTCTCAAACAGCATCCATGCTTCTTTTTCTTCTAATGGTTTAATCTCAAACTGTATTTCAGATAAATCAAAAAGAACACGGCTATCTCTAGTAGTAGTCAGCAAAATTTTGTAAGATAATAACCTGTTCTCATTCTCATCTTCCAATGGAAGTTTTTCACACAACTTCCAACATATTTCTGGCTCCCAAACATCGTCCAAAATCAAGAGGACCCTCTTTTCTGTTAGCTTTCTTTCCTTTCTTCGATTGGAAGCTTCCTGATATGTAAGTTCATTAGAAACACCCAAGTCACGTGCAATTTCATCTTGGATTCTGGGGTTCTGCTTCACAGATGCCATAACAACCGCATCAAATAACTTTTGTTCCTCCGCTATTTTCTTCACTTCTCTGACGAGCATGGTCTTCCCCGTACCAGACTCCCCGTACACACTTATGGTGTTGATGCTACGACATTGAACTGCCTCCAAAATCCCGTCCAAAACATTCTTTGTCCACTCAGAGTACTCGAAACGATTAACTGCCCCATTCTGATCTCCTCGTGAGATGTCCTCAAGTAATCTACGAGCTTCTTGCACAAGTACACCAATATCCTCCCAATTCCAAGGAGAGTTGAAATTACGACACAGCTTAAAGGAATACTCGTGCTTCACATGTCGTTCTCCAACATCAGGACCTATTAATTTTTTTGCCGAACCATTAATGAAATTCTTTGCTTTTCTCAACCAGTCGTTAAGGTCCTTCATTTTCTGGCTGTCACTGCTTCCATAAGGATTGTTGACATAGCGCTCCACACGCTCCTTCTCTTCTTCCAGGTCAGCAAGTTGTTGATAATGAATCTTGATTTTGGCCTGTTTCTTCTGAGACATGCTGGACCAAACACCTATGCAAAAATTTTGTCAGCAAAATGCCACAAATAGTACCCTTGCTTGCGTTGTTTCTTTCTTATTTTTCGTAGTTTAACTTTTAATGTTTTGAGAAATTTATACTAGTTGGTAAAACAAACTGCAAAGAAAACAATCAATGGAGAAGGCAGTTCAGAGAATGGAAGCAAGGAAACCTAGTTACATGAGAATAGAAAAGGCAAAATACACAACTTTGGTCTCTGGAAGTGAAAATTGAGAAGAAAATAACAACAGGCATTGCTGCTTTCTGATTTAGAGATTACTTCGATTTTGTGACTTCTGAAGATGGGAAAGAATCTACTAAAAAAAAATCAAAAGTACGAAGACACCTTTCGACGTTTAATATAAATTAAGGTAAATTAAGATAGCTAATTACCCCTTATCCCCTTAATTTCAAAAGAGACTATTTGCACTGGCAAATTGGCCGAGTGCAGGTTGCATTTGGTCCATGATGGGTCTGGTATTATTATTATTTTTTTAAATAGCTAAAAAATAGAACTTAAAAATTAAAAGGACCAATAAGATGGGAAGTGCTAGTCTACTTGAGCTTCTACCGAGTGCACAACTGCACATATATAGCATTCCTAATTTCAAAATATTTGAGGTTTTATTAAGCTTTTAAGTAAATGTTTTCCTTCTGATTATATCTTCTTTGATTCTCTTTCTTCGGCCAATTTTCTTTCTGCTTTAGCTCACAGGTTGCCCAATTTTTGACTTTATTCTATGTTACTTTTCTCCAACGAATTCTACCATTTCATGTATTTTGGCTATTGTAACTTTCAAAATTTGCAAATCATTCTCAATCAAAAGAATAATAATAATAATCAATTTGACTTCAAAATTTTCTCCGATGGAATTCTACTATTTTATCTATTGTTTTTACACTGCTCAGTTGCTTCATCAATCTTGGCTAAATGTCTGGAATGGTGGGGACTAAGAACTGCTACAGCTAATATTGCTGGGACACCTTTGTACAACATGAGGACTTATGTTTGACAACAAAGGACCTTACTAATTACCTATTGATCTGAGTGCAAAAAGTGAAATTTTTTTTTTTTTTTTTGAGATAAGTCAGGAGTTCAATTTTCTTTAAGTAAAATTTTAAGTTCAAGTCTTGTAAACGGAGAGATAAATGTTAGGAGAGCTGCCCCTTATTTAATTCAACGTGGCTTAACTCTGGCATAACAAGGATCAAATTTAGCTTCTGAATATTGGAGGATTTAGTACCAAAGAAAACAGAAAAGAAAAAAAAAAAAAAAAGGCAAACAAAGGAACGTGCGAGATGGGTCGTTGTCTGGTATGCTTTGGTTTGGACAACTTGGAACACTAGAAGTGAGAAAATATTTGAGAACGAAGCTGTAGACAAGAAAATGATATATTTGATCAAATACCGATGAGAGCCTTTCAGTGGATTAAGATCAAGGGGAAGGTAAGACATTTACATCCACCATATTGGATTATTAATCCTAGGTGTTGCTGTTATTTTTAAAGGTATGAGCATGATGTTAGCCTATACCCTTTTTAGGGACAGGGAGAGATTTTTGACATGGGCTAATAGTTTGTTACCTAGTATGTATATTGGTTCTGAGTACTTTTTGTACTCAATCAATAAAAATTCTTTTGTTTTTTGAAAAAAAAAAAAAACTAAGTCCAACTTAATATGGAATTTTATTGTCAAAATTATTTGTGATGAAATCAATGAAAGGAAGAAGTATAGTAAAAAAACAGTGAGTTTTAGATATGCAATGTTATTAATTTAAATGAAAGTAGAAATTTACCTCAGAGTTGCACTTCTCCTCTTCTTTGTATTCTCGTACCTTGTGGTGGATGATTTTCTAGTTGAAAAATCTACTAACTATTTTAAAGAATGGACTGTGTTAGTTATGCAATTATGTTATTTTCCTTGTACACATGTTTATGTAAGCTAGAATTTAAATAATGCACTGAATAAGCATCACAAAAGCATGTTGCATTTTTGAATTTGTGGTAAAGAGTGAGGCTGCTTCTAAAGTTAATTGAGGTCAAAATAAGTAAAATACTAACACTAATGGTTAGGGAAACAGCTCCTAAAGTTAGTTGTGGTTGAAATAACTCAAAGTTATTTGGGCTTGCTCCTCAAGTTAATTGGAGCTGGTGGTGATGATGGTAGCCACAAAATCCTAAGGTTGGTGAAATTCCTAAAAATTCCATGGAAACTTAAGTAATATAGACAATAGTACAACAAACAGTGCAGTAGACATTGTAGAACATGAATCAATAGCCAAGCACACAAGGATAACATGCTAGAACTAATGAGACATTGGTTGAGGCTGAGCAAGTGGAAACCTTGAGTACCAAGCTAAACTCAAACAATTTCAAAGGTGAGATTCACTTGCTTCTATGGGAACTTATGAAACCACGAATGTTGATGAATGGTGAAGGATTTGGAGCAAATTTTTCAAGGAATGAGAATCAAGGATCTTTATAAGGTTCATTTGGCTATTTTTATGCTAAGAGGTAAAGCTAGGAATTAGCGGCGACCTATTCAGGAAAGTTATGTGAAAAGAAGCAGAGGTTATAGCTTGGAAAAGTTTCATGAAAGAACTATATAAAACTTACTTTTCCCAGGCCACTCTCAAGAAAAAGGAAAAAGAGTTGAACATTTTAACATAGAGGGAGATGATAGTAGACAAGTACCAGCCTAAGTTTAGCGATTTGGTATATAGTTTGTTCCCAATATGGTGACCAATAAGCTAATCAAGGTGAGGTAGTTTATAAAGGGATTGGACATTTCTGTTGGAAGTCAGGTGGTAGGACATGAAGTGGCACATACTTTGCTACTATGAAGACGACACAAATTATTGAGCCGTACCATGATACCAAGAAAGGGAATTCTAGTGAGCAAAAAGATAAGAGAAAAACTTTCAATATTTAGCCTTAAAACAAGAAATTTAAGAGAAAAGGAAAAAGAAAGGGATTTATCAACGTTGAGGTAGATGTGGGAAATTGCAAAGTATGTTACATAAAGCATGAAGGCAAAAATTGTAATTGGCAAAAAAGGACTTGTTTTAAGTGTGGCAAAGTGCGTAACCTAGCCAAAAATTTTCTTGAACCAAACCCAACGAAGAAAAAAAAAAGTTGTGAGAAGGGTGTTTGTCCTCACTAGAAAGAAACAAGGGAACCCGGTTGTGATCCAAGCTTGTTTCCCGGTTGTGATCCAAGTGAACTCCCTATTTTAAATGGAGTTGCTAGCATCTTAATAGCCCTAGGTCAACTAATGCTTTTGTATCTCCCAAGTATGCTACATCTTTGCAAGTTAAACCCATGAGTTTAGGTTATGAATTGAAAGCCATCTTTGGAGCTATTTTATCCTCTTATATAGTGTGTAGAGGATGCTATGTTGTTAATGGGCAATTTACGCTAGCTGACATGATTCTTCTTAATCTAGATGAATTTGATGTAATTTAAGAATGGACTAGTTGTTACCTTTTAGATTCCTAATAAACTTATTATTCAATTTAGGAGCCAGGGTTTACATGTAAATCTTACAATGGTTTCTGGCACAAGGGTTGGAAAATTATTACAGCAAAGTTGTACAAGATATCTTGCTTATATTTTTGAAAATAAAAGCAAGCCTAGTAGTGTGAAAGGAATCAAGGTTGAGGAAAATTTTAAGGATGTTTTTCCAAAAGAACTACATGGATTGCTGCTTAGGAGAAAGAGAGAGAATTTATAATTGACTAGGTGCGTGAAACTACATCAATAACATAGCCCCTATACGGGATGACCCTTATAGCAATAGTTGAGTTAAAGAAAGAATTACAAGAACTATTATATAAAGGTTTTATTTGGATGTGTGTTTCTTCTTCATAGGTGTTTCAATGTTGTTTGTAAAGAAGAAAGATAGTTCCTTGTAACTTTGTATAGATTATTGAAAGTTAAATCAAGTGATAGTTAAGAAAAGGTACCCTATGCCCAAAATGATGATTTTTTTTTTTTATCAATTATAAAGTGTTAAAAGTGTTTTCTAAATTGACTTAAGATGGAGTTGCTATCAATTTGAGAATTAGGGGTGAGGATGTTATGTAGATAGCATTTAGAACTAGGTATGGATATTATGAGTTCCTGTACTTCCTGGTTATGCCTTTTGGGCTAATAATGCCCTAGCAACATTTATGGATCTCATCATAGAGTTTTAGAACCTTATCTAGATAGATTGTTATAGTCTTTATATATGTTGTCCTTGTTTACTGCTTGACGAGAAAAGTCATCAAAAGCACTAATGCCCTTGTATTGCAAAGGTTGAGGGAGGAACTATATGCCAAATTAGATAAATGTGAGTTTTGGTTAACTCAACTAGGTTTCTAAGGGCATATAGTTACTATGGAGGGAATTTTTGTTGACCCAATAAAATTGAAGCCATAGCAAGTTGGGATTGACCAATTAATATTTATGAAGTTAGAATCCAATGTTTTGAAAACCAAACCAGAGATCAAACCATTTTGTCTTCTGGTTTGAGTGGTTTGACTTGTTTAACAGTCAAAAACTCAGTCTAACTATATTAGCTTTTAATATAATAAATTTATAATAAATATATAATTAGTTTTTTAAAGTGACCAATTAAATGGTTTCTTGGTTTGTATCAATTTGAATAGTTTTGTCAATTTTGTATTGTTAAACTACCTTATTGGTTCTAAGCACTTACCTGACTCGTTATTACTCTCGAATACCAATTCGACTAGTTTAACCCTTTGGTTTAGTCTGTTTTCAAAATATTATTAGAATCTTGGTTCAATTGATTATTGTTACAACTCAAATTTTCACCTAAAATTATATTTAGAAATCTTTTAGTCTTAAAAAAATATTTGTAATTAGATTTATTTTCTATGTTTCAGGGACGTGATCGTGAAA